TTTATGACGTCGAATATCGACGTCATAAACACCAAACTTGATGGTGTTTATGACGTCGAATATCGACGTCATAAACACGAAACTTGATGGTGTTTATGACGTCTTCGCAAGGTTATAAGTCTTCGTATGAGAAATACAAGTCAAGCAGACGAGTCCGTTTTGGTCTGTTTTGGGCCTTCATCAATTTGGTTTTGGGGGCATTCGCTATCTCAGAAATGTAGGTTTAACTTTTGGTTTGAACCTGGTTCCTATAGGTTAAAGGACTTTAAAAACTATTTGGCAATAGAAGAATCAATAATATTATCTATTTTGTTAAGATTTGTATAAATGTGCATATTTTGACATTTGATCTCAACAAGTCTAGACAAAATTCCATCATAGCATGAAAGAGCATCACAAAATTAGTAATATTCCATTTGAAGTTTCGTTGCGAAATGTGTAAAATGCGGATAATATAGCCTTGCGAAATTTGCAATTTTCAGTCATTTTAGATTACAAATGGGAAATGGTTACCACTTCTCCAAAATTTTGATCTTAACTAGCCTAAACAAAAATTTCATCACAGCTTGAAAGAGCATCACAAAATTAGTAATATTCCAAAGTTTTGTTGCAAAATGTTGTAAAATGCGGATAATATAGCCTTGCAAAGTTTGTAATTTTCAGTCATGTTGTATTACGCACAGAAGTGGTAACCATTTCCCGTTTGTAATCTAAAATGACTGAAAATTGCAAACTTTGCAGGGCTATATTATCTGCATTTTACAACATTTTTCAACGAAACGTTGGAATATTACTAATTTTGTGATGCTCTTTCAAGCTGTGATGAAATTTTTGTCTAGACTTGTTGAGTTCAAAATTTTGGTTAATTGGGGATTGGTCCATTGTTGTAAAGATAAATTGTCTGGGCTAAAAGGGTTTTGTAGATAGGTATTATCGAGGTAAAATTTTATATACATTTATTAGACCTAACTAGGAACAGCTGCAAAAAAATGCTGGACCTATAGTTTTGAACTGTCTTCGCCATTGTAGGTATAGTGCCAATCAAATGAACAAGCTTTCATTGGTAGGGACACAACTACCTGAAAATATGTAAGGCCTAAAAAAATACCTGTCAGGTTCCGGTTTCATATCGCAAAAAAATTAGAGGGTCTGTAGGTCGGAAATAAATTTTTTTTTTGAATATTTTTTTCATGTTTTTTTCAATAATTAGTGTGACAATAGACTTGTGAAATAAAGTTTTAATAAATAAATAATAAATACGGTCAGTTGGGAACCAGAACCACAGGGTTTTTTTTAGGCCTAAAGAGAATTTCAACATTTCGAACAAAGCCCTTTGTTGAACTCCAGACGGACTTGGCTTGAAACATCAAAAGGTTACGCAATACGCATAACACCTAATGTAATGGACCATTTGCGTTATAGACTAAATTTTGATCTAAACAAGTCTAGACAAAAATTCATCACAGTTTCAAAGAGTTTCACAAAATTAGTAATATTCCAAAGGTTCGTTGCGAAATGTTGTAAAATGCGGATAATATAGCCTTGCGAAGTTTGCCGTTTTTCAGTCATTTTGTATTACAAACAGGAAATTGACAGCCCCAAAGGGCATTGGCTGTCAATTTCCCCCGCGTAATGCAAAATGACTGAAAAACGGCAAACTTCGCAAGGCTATATTATCCGCATTTTACAGCATTTCGCAACAAAACTTTGGAATATTACTAATTTTGTGCTGCTCTTTCAAGCTGTGATGAAATTTTTGTCCAGACTTGTTTAGATCAAAATTTAGTCCATAATGCAAATCCAGATGATTTTACTTGTCAAGAGGAGAGCGCTCAATGGATTAATCAGACTGCCTGTTATAAAAGATCGCTGAAAACGATACGATAATTTATTTATTTTGCTGATTCGCCCAAGATATTGATATTGCACATAAAAGAAATAAACTATTTACAAGAAATGGGCTAGGAGCCTACTAGAAACCATATGGCTTTTTGTTTTAGGCCCCTAGGTTATAAATTTAAACTAATTAGCAAAATAATATGCAGCATCAGTTCGAGTGCTTTTAGGAGAAAGGAAAAAGAATAGTTAAATATTATATGATATGATAGTAAGCTATATTTACAATTCAATTTTTGATTTATAGTTTTTCTATACTTACAGGAATATGTTATTCTATTAAATTTAGTTGTGAGAAGTACTTTTTCATTATTTTTTTGAAGGAGTCGTAAGATTTAGCAGGTTCTTTATATTGAGTGGGAAGATTATTCCACACTTCTATACCTTTATTAGAGATTTTTATTTATAAAATTTTTTTAAAAATCCATGATGTTTTATTAAAAAATATTTTTAAAAATCCATGTGGCATGAAAAATTGATGGGCTCACGTTTTTTGAGCCTAATTGTGATTTATGCTTGTGTTTTTAGTTAATAGGAAATAACAGTCCATATTCTCCAAGCAAGTTTTCTCCTGTTCACTATAACGACATCACAATGACATCATTAGATACCAGGTGAATATATAAGTTTAAGTGAAAACCAGCAAAATCTCATTAGAGTATTTTAGGTGGAAAAATTAGTGGAAATTGTCCAGTCTGAATTCCACTTTCCTTTTGATAGTAACTCTTAGTCTTATTTTTCTAGTCACATGGCAAAATATCCATCTCCAAGTAACTCACCATGTAAGTCATTTTTCATGTTATTCAATTAAGAATTCCTTTAGCCTGTGAACAGGCTCTCAAGCTGAATTGAGAGCCTGCATCAATGACTGATGAATTTGAATATCTGCCCCGTAATGTTCGTTTTTCCAAATATGGAATGTCTATCCTTATATGGTGTTGTTTACAACTTTAGTGCATACTAAATTTAGACCGTGCAAACTAAATTTAGACTGTACAGTTTATACTGTTTTTCGAAATATAAGATATTCAAGCAAAAGTTCAAATGTTTTAAATACTGTTTTCTCAAAACAGAACATTTGTGCTTTGAGATAAGAGGCCAAACATCTGACCAATGAGAATTTCGCGTCACGATTTGAGACGCAGATATTCAAATTCATTAGTCATCGATGCAGGCTCTCAATTCAGCTTGAGAGCCTGTTCGCAGGCTAGAATTCCTTAAGAATTCTTACATGTAGTTGATGATGACATTAAAAATGAAGTATATATTTGTAGTTTCAGATGATCGTATTAAGAATGTTGATGCTCTGAATAGTTATTTGCAAACAGAGGAAGATAGGAGAGAAATGTCACACAGGGGTACAGTACTTGAATCGTGATGCCTACATTTAATTAACCCATTAAGCGCCAGCGCTTTCCCCTTGATGAGTAAAATCGTCTGGCATTAGATAGAGTAAAATCAACTAATTTTCTTGCCCTGAGTGCAAGTGGTCAAAAAAGTAAAGTTACACCACCCCTCTAGCTTGTTAGGACGTTTGCTTTGAAGCTTTTATTGTTAAACCACAGGCAGAACATATATGGTCAAGCAGATTTTTAGGGTGGTGCTGGATTTCTCTAGGGGGTGGGGGGCATAGACTAAGCTCCATTCGTAGATCGGCTACCTCCATAAAAATAAAATCAATCTACAGCCATGAACCACTGACACCAGCTGGTCCTTAAGATGCACTACCATCGCTAGTTATGGCTTTCCTCGGGGATGTTGGCATAAATGCTGATAGGTTCAATAGTTCATCATAACCGACATTATTTTATGTTCAAACTTTATTCTCGTTCGTGATTGGATACCTTGTTTTGGATCTAACTTCGATCCAAAACCATCCTCGTCCCCAGGGCCTCTCGGCCGCGTGCGTCCTCCCTAGGCCCTGGGACACACGGAACCGGAAGTGCAAGAAAACTTGGAGTAGTTTCTAAAGCGCATGTTCTTGAATTGGGACACTTTAGCACCCGTAAGAATTTTCACAGTGAATTTTCATTAAGAAGAAACGAAGTATTTGTGTTGACATATGTTGATAGAATAATTTTGCCCAGCGAAAACTGCTCAACTTCTGCGAAATAGCAGTTCTCTGAGAAGCCAATCAGATCTCTTCCTTTAGTCGTCTATCCCAGAGCCTAATTTTCAACGAGTGACCGAGTGAAAATGGCTCTGGGGACGAGAATGATCCAAAACAAGGTATTATTGCACGCTGTAACAGGTGGGCAATTTGTCGACGCTGACCAAAAATAGCGGCTCATTTCTTCTCCAGTTGCCATTTTCGCGTCGAAGAGCAAAAATATAGACTTTCAGAGACTATTTTAGCTGTTTCCTATCAAATATGTTTGTGAAACAGTTGATAATCTTACTGACGAAGGCCAACGGTTTCTGAAAAGCTAAAGTACGTCGAAATCCAGCTTTGGAATAGACTATATTTTCACCGGGGAAACATGAACTAAATGGATATTTACATCAACACTAGATTTTGCTCGTGCCCACAGAGCTAGTTGGATTAAAACAGATGTTAAGAAGTAAGTGAAAATGTGAATTTTGTGAATTATACTTTCATTAAAATGTTTCAGAAGGGTGTAATGCAAACTACAGTGTACAGAGCTGTCAGTATACCCATATTTCAATGTTTATGTTGAAATGACCTATCTTGTTTGAGGTATAGCTTAAAAATTAGGGTATGCTCATCACTTGAAACTAGCTTTAAATCAAAGTTTTATCTATAGTCTTTTTATTAGAATTAAAATCATTAATGGGAAAAATGTGCCAAAGGGTTGAAATTGCCCTTGTAAATGTACACTATTTTTGACATGTTTGGGTTAGTATTTTGAAAAGGTGTTCTGGAAGGAAAATATGTCTTGAACAAACTGGTTGACCCTTAAATTATAACTAGTGTCATGTAAATCACAGAAAATTGAAAAAAATCTGGTCCATACACAATATTTTGGATTCTATAAGGTCCGAATGGGGCTTATTTCAATGTTGAATCTGTTTACCTGAAAACTTAGAAAATTGAATAAGTCAAGAATTTGACTATGCTCATCATCCAAAACCAGGTTTTTTAATTGCTTTTTCACCTGGGTTTATGGCAATACCATTATGAGACCATGAAAAATGCGCGCGGCACTTTTTTTGGACACTGAATATGGTGACATTTGATGTTGTCATATATTGCCATCCTCTTATCATAGCATAACTTAACTTATTTTAGTGAGTTTGTTAAAGTGTTGTGCTCACTATATGCCTGTGGTATGTAAGATTTATTCATGGCATTAGATGATAAATGTAGGTTCTGTTTTCTTTTATTTTTAGGTGATAGTATCTGTTCACTTGAGTGTTGGTATCAAATTTTGGTCAAGTTTCAATTATTATTATTTCACATTCCTTTATTCAAATATCCAAATAAATGGAATATGACATCAAGCTGGAGGACTAGATCCTGTTTCCAAACTTGTTTTTGTAAAAATAGAAAATAACAACTTATTGTATGTTGTTCTAATAAAAACTAGTGTTTGTTATATGCATATTTAATTTTTAAAATTACATTTCATTCTTTGTTAAAATGTGTACCAGGAATACTTTAATCTTTAGATCAACTAACAATACTTTTATAACTTATATAGCCAAGTGTTCTATCTATTTCTGTTCAGATTAGACAACTGATGGGTAAAATGTTTTCCACTAAATATTACAAAGTTTTCGTTCATTAAAATGTTGTTTTATCAGCTTTAAAGCCAGATAAACCCACGAAGCACTCCTAAATATATGTCGCCATATTGATTTTCTTCGCGCATGCTCAGACAAATTGCCCACCTGTTGCACGCTGTCGAACCCAAGCCCCAGCGCGGTTTGTCAGCTTGCTAGAATTCACGAAAAGCAAGAAGAAAACTACGCCGAAGCTAGAAAACAGAACGGCAAGTTTTACTCGAAGAGCTCGCTCAGTGCTTTTAGGTTTGACCTGAATACACATTTCAAGGAACTTTCTAGATATAGTGAAGGACAACGAATTTAAAGAAGCAAATCAAGTATTTATCGCACAATGCGTGAAACTAAAATGTTTATCTATTCCACTGTTGTTGTTCTTTGCTTCTTGTTTTTGAATATATAATAAAACAATTATTGGATTCGGTTTTATGATATCTCGCAATTTTCGGCGGCAAAAGGCAATTGCCGCCGATAATGCCGCCGAAGATTAAATTATCGGCGGCAATTTTTTGCCGTCGACGAATTGTTGTGTCACTGATGATGCTTCACTGCCTCCTCAATTTGATTAGTTCTTCTGAGTATGAACATATGATTAGAAAATAAGTCGGGGAAAGTGAGCTATTCTTTTGTGAACACTTTTATTTTTGTGGCTTGTTTTAAAATACATCGGAAGTTCTGATACACTTCGTGTAACTTCAACTTCAAACACATACAACTTTAGAACAAATAACAAAGTTAAAACTAAAAGATCGATAGCTGGTCTCAATGTTATTGTGTGTGAAACAAGGTGTCCTTGAATATCAAACACTTTTAATTTAGTAGAGTTAAGAGAATACTAAACATAAAATAATTCTAAACATAAAATAATTCTGTTCTCTGTCAAAGTGTCAATTTATAATGACAAAAAAATTGCCGCCGAACTGCCGCCGACCTTCGAAATATCGGCGGCAATTTTTTGCCGCCGTAGATTGATCAAAATTGCGAGGACTGAGCCTTCGGTTTCGGTGTCTCGATATCATGCTCAACCTCATTCAATAATTGTTTATTGTTACCCAAGTTGTCACTGTTCTCAGTCCAAATGATAATAATAAAGACATATAATAGAAATAGACCGATTCGTTATTGTTCCCCTACACTGCCAAGGACAGTAAGCAATACTGTAACTTACTTTTTTTTTCGACATTTTTAAAATTTCATGGAACTGAGTTATAACCAAGAATATCTTGTCAAAAGAATTAAAGGTATCAATTCTAAGCTAACACTGTCCCTAAACGAACTTTATTTCTACTGGATAGCTCTATCAGGTCCCAGTACAATCTCGTACCCAGAGCAATGCCTGTGCGCGGGCTATGAAGGCATTCGCTCTGGGGAAATTGACAACTGGAACCCCTAAATTTAGGGGTTCCCGTTATTTGTCGGCATGCACGATTGACAAACGTTAAACCAATCACAGCACAGGAAAAATTCAATTTCCCCAGAGCCAATGCCATCCTAGCCCGCGCACAGGCATTGCTCTGGGTACGAGATTCGCCCCATCTTATTGATCCAGGAGGAAACCTAAACTAAACTAACTTTATATTGGACAGCTCTATCAGTTCTAAACTGTTTTCCTAGAGATCCACCAAGTGTCGTCTCTTAATTGATCCAGTGTTACTAGAGGTGCCTTCGTTTTTTACAGAACTTGGTCATGACAGTTGTATAGGTGCATACCGCTGGAAGTCTGGTACTGATTACCGTGGGCGCAGTTGGGATCAAGACCTGCCCACTTACCATGTCATATCACACATACCATACCACATCATATACCATACCATACCATGTAATATCACCCCATACCATACCACATCATATACCATACCATACCATGTCATATCACACCATACCATACCATACCATACCACATCATGTACCATACCATACCATGTCATATCACATCATAGCATATCATATCATACAATATGCCGATATGTTTATCACGTTGAATATCAACGTCATAAACATCGAAGTTGAATGTTTATGAGTTGAATGTCAACGTCATAAACATCGAAGTTGAATGTTTATGATGTTGAATGTCAACGTCATAAACATCTAAGTTGAATGTTTATGACGTTAATATCAACCTCATAAACATCTAAGTTGAATGTTTATGACGCTGAATATCAACGTCATAAACATCTAAGTTGAATGTTTATGACGCTGAATATCAACGTCATAAACATCTAAGTTGAATGTTTATGTCTAAGTTGAATGTTTATGCGTTGAATATTAACGTCATAAACATCTAAGTTGAATGTTTATGACGTTGAATATCAACGTCATAAACATCGAAGTTGAATGTTTATGATGTTGAATGTCAACGTCATAAACATCTAAGTTGAATGTTTATGACGTTAAATATCAACCTCATAAACATCTAAGTTGAATGTTTATGACGCTGAATATCAACGTCATAAACATCTAAGTTGAATGTTTATGACGCTGAATATCAACGTCATAAACATCTAAGTTGAATGTTTATGACGCTGAATATCAACGTCATAAACATCTAAGTTGAATATTTATGACGCTGAATATCAACGTCATAAACATCTAAGTTGAATGTTTATGTCGTTGAATATCAACGTCATAAACATCTAAGTTGAATGTTTATGACGTTGAATATCAACGTCATAAACATCTAAGTTGAATGTTTATGTCGTTGAATATTAACGTCATAAACATCTAAGTTGAATGTTTATGACGTTGAATATCAACGTCATAAACATCTAAGTTGAATGTTTATGACGTTGAATATCAACGTCATAAACATCTATAAGTTGAATGTTTATCACGTTGAATATGAACGTCATAAACATCTTTAAGTTGAATGTTTATAACGTTGAATATGAACGTCATAAACATCTAAAGTTGAATGTTTATGACGTTGAATATCAACGTCATAAACACCAAATTTGATGGTGTTTATGACGTCGAATATGGACGTCATAAACACCAAACTTGATGGTGTTTATGAAGTCGAATATCGACGTCATAAACACCAAATTGATCGTGTTTATGACGTCGAACAAACTGATGGTGTTATGACGTCGAATTCGACGTCATAAACACGAAACTTGATGGTGTTTATGACGTCGTATATCGACGTTATAAACACCAAACTTGGTGGTGTTTATGACGTCGAATATCGACGTCATAAACACCAAACTTGATGGTGTTTATGACGTCCAATATCGACGTCATAAACACGAAACATGATGGTGTTTATGACGTCGAATATCGACGTCATAAACACCAAACTTGATGGTGTTTATGACGTCGAATATCGACGTTATAAACACCAAACTTGATGGTGTTTATGACGTCGAATATCGACGTCATAAACACGAAACATGATGGTGTTTATGACGTCAAATATCGACGTGATAAACACGAAACTTGATGGTGTTTCTGACGTCGGATATCGACGTCATAAACACGAAACTTGATTGTGTTTATGACGTCGAATATCGACGTCATAAACACCAAACTTGATGGTGCTTATGACGTCGAATATCGACGTCATAAACACGAAACTTGATGGTGTTTATGACGTCGAATATCGACGTTATAAACACGAAACTTGATGGTGTTTATGACGTCGAATATCGACGTCATAAAACACCAAACTTGATGGTGTTTATGACGTCGAATATCGACGTCATAAACACCAAACTTGATGCTGTTTATGACGTCGAATATCGACGTCAAAAACACCAAACTTGATGGTGTTTATGACGTCGAATATCGACGTCAAATACACCAAACTTGATGGTGTTTATGAGGTCGAATATCGACGTCATAAACACCAAACATGATGGCGTTTATGACGTCGAATATCGACGTCATAAACAACAAACTTGATGGTGTTTATGACGTCGAATATCGACGTCATAAACACGAAACATGATTGTGTTTACGACGTCGAATATCGACGTCATAAACACCAAACTTGATGGAACTTGATGTGTTTATGACGTCGAATATCGACGTCATAAACACCAAACTTGATGGTGTTTATGACTTCGTATATCGACGTTATAAACACCAAACTTGATGGTGTTTATGACGTCGAATATCGACGTCATAAACACGAAACTTGATGGTGTTTATGACGTCGATATTCGACGTCATAAACACGAAACATGATGGTGTTTATGACGTCGAATATCGACGTCATAAACGCCAAACTTGATGGTGTTTATGACGTCGAATATCGACGTCACAAACACCAAACTTGATGGTGTTTATGACGTCGAATATCGGCGTGATAAACACGAAACTTGATGGTGTTTATGACGTCAAATATCGACGTGATAAACACGAAACTTGATGGTGTTTCTGACGTCGAATATCGACGTCATAAACACGAAACATGATGGTGTTAATGACGTTGAATGTCGACGTCATAAACACCAAACTTGATGGTTTTTATGACGTCGAATGTCGACGTCACAAACACCAAACTTGATGGTGTTTATGACGTCGAATATCGACGTCATAAACACGATACATGATGGTGTTTATGACGTCAAATATCGACGTCATAAACACGAAACTTGATGGTGATTCTGACGTCGGATATCGACGTCATAAACACGAAACTTGATTGTGTTTATGACGTCGAATGTCGACGTCATAAACACCAAACTTGATGGTGTTTATGACGTCGAATATCGACGTCATAAACACGAAACATGATGGTGTTGATGACGTCGAATGTCGACGTCATAAACACCAAACTTGATGGTGTTTATCACGTCGAATATTGACGTCATAAACACGAAACATGATGGTGTTTATGACGTAGAATATCGACGTCATAAACAGGAAACTTGATGGTGTTTATGACGTCGAATATCGGCGTCATAAACACCAAACTTGATGGTGTTTATGACGTCGACGTCTAAACACGAAACTTGATGGTGTTTATCACGTCGAATGTCGACGTCATAAACACCAAACTAGATGGTGCTTATGACGTCGAATATCGACGTTATCAACACCAAAGTTGATCGTGTTTATGACGTCGAATATCGACGTCATAAACACCAAAGTTGATCGTGTTTATGAGAATATCGGCGTGATAAACACGAAACTTCATGGTGTTTATGACCTCGTATATCGACGTTATAAACACCAAACTTGATGGTGTTTATGACGTCGAATATCGACGCCATAAACACCAAAGTTGATGGTGTTTATGACGTCGAATATCGACGTATAAACACCAAAGTTGATCGTGTTTATGACGTCGAATACCGTCGAATATCGACGTCATAAACACCAAAGTTGATCGTGTTTATGACGTCGAATGCCGTCGAATACGTCGAATATCGACGTCATAAACACCAAACTTGATGGTGTTTATGACGTCGAATACCGTCGAATATCGACGTCATAAACACGAAACTTGATGGTGTTTATGACGTCGAATGCCGTCGAATACGTCGAATATCGACGTCATAAACACCAAACTTGATGGTGTTTATGACGTCGAATATCGACGTCATAAGCACGAAACTTGATGGTGTTTATGCTTGATGGTGTTTTATGCTCAACTTAAGCCTAGATGTTTATGACGTTGATATTCAACGTAATAAACATTCAACTTAGATGTTTATGATTTGATATTCAACGTCATAAACATTCAACTTAGATGTTTATGACGTATATATTCAAGGTCATAAACATTCCACTTAGATGTTTATGACGTTGATATTCAACGTCATAAATATTCAACTTAGATGTTTATGGCGTTGATATTCAACGTCATAAACATTCAACTTAGATGTTTATGACGTTGATATTCAAGGTCATAAACATTCAACTTAGTTGTTTATGACGTTGGTATTCAACGTCATAAACATTCAACTTAGATGTTTATGACGTTGATATTCAACGTCATATACATTCAACTTAGATGTTTATGACGTTGATATTCAGCGTCGTAAACATTCAACATAGATGTCTATGGCGTTGATATTCAACGTCATAAACATTCAATGTTAATGTTAGGATTGTTAGGGTTACTCGAAGTTAATGGTAGGGTTAATGTTAGGATGGTTAGGTTTACTCAAGATTAAGGTTAGAGTTAATGTAAGGATTGTTAGAGTTACTCGAGGTTAAGGTTAGGGTTAAATAATGTTAGGATTGTTAGTGTTACTCGAGGTTAAGGTTAGTGTTAATGTTCGGATTATCTGGGTTACTTAAGGTCAAGTTTAGGGTTGATTTGGGACTACTGTATTTAAATGAAATTTGTTAGCAAATGCGGACTTATTTAATCTCATATAGCGTTAAGATTAATTAATGGCACTATATAACAACAGAGGCTGGTGTGCTTTATAAGAGTGCTTCTTCTTCCCAAAACCTTTGCGAATTCCCCCCGCTCCCGATGTACTACATTATGTGCGCCAAATATATGATAATGATAATGATAATAATATTTTATTGAGGGATTCATTCATCCCAAGATGCTTTTCAATGAAGCCCTCACCACAAATACAATATTATACATATATGAGTATCTGTAAAAAATCTATTCTAAGTTATAATACTATTAAAAAAAGTTCAAAATATGCTAAACTTTAAATGGTAAAATGTTAAGAGAGAAGTTTTCTTTTAAAAATATTAAAATTAGCTATATTCCTAATGTCATTATCTAAGTCATTCCAATTCTTCGCTGCCTGATATACACTGTATAAAGCGTTGTTTTCCCCATTCTGTTTTAACTTTTGGAAGATAAAGGTTGGCACTCCGACGAGTGGAGTAACTATGCATGGCGGTTGCAGTTCTGAATCAGTATTAATTCTGTGTCCATAGTGCCATGAAGGCACTTAAGGCCGGCGCACACTGGAGCTATGTGCTTAGCCAAATTTCATTCGTGCCCATTGGCGTAAGGAGATAGCTCTCGTGTGCGGGCGATTTACGAACAACTTTTGTCATTCGTGCCACTTACGCCAAATATCAAACATGTTTGATAATTTCTGCCTCGCGTGCCAAAATCTTTCCGTGTGCGGCGAACGAAAGCCTTTTGTTTACGGATTGTCTTAACAGCGCATGCGTAGTATACGAAAGTAAACATCCAAGATGGCGGCGCAAAATTGCCTCGGCCAGCAATTCATTTTGCGCCGCCATCTTGGATGTTTACTTTCGTACATTACGCATGCGCTGTTAAGACAATCCGTAAGCAAAAGGCTTTCGTTCGCCGCACACGGAAAGATTTTGGCACGCGAGGCAGAAATTATCAAACATGTTTGATATTTGGCGTAAGTGGCACGAATGACAAAAGTTGTTCGTAAATCGCCCGCACACGAGAGCTATCTCCTTACGCTAATGGGCACGAATGAAATTTGGCTAAGCACATAGCTCCAGTGTGCGGCCGGCCTTTATGAATTGCAATGCAACGATGTTGTTGACGTCTTGTATTTAGTTCTACCCAATTTAATTTCTGAAGGGCATCAGTAGCCGAGTATGTGCGTGGTAATCCCAGTATGACCTTTGCGGCCTTGTTTTGCAAAATTTGTAAATCATCCATCAGAACTTTGTTGTTTTTATCTCCCCAAACCAAATCCGCATAGTCAAACAGGGGTAAATGATTGAATTATACACAGTAATGAGTCCCTCCTTAGAAAGAATGAGCCGTAAACGCTTTAGTATGGCGCCTTTTTATATAGCGCCTGGAACGCGAGAAACCCATGACCTAATCATAATTGAAACATTCTAGATTTCTATACAGGGTGTATCAAAAAAAGCGCAACCTCGAAATTTCCCAAGAAATCCACATTGTTTTAAAGACAAAAGATTTTAGGCGCCTGGGAATTTAAAATTGCACAACTGTCAAAATTACTGCACACTCGAGTGCATAAAGCAAAATTTATGCATTTATTTAATGCACAACTAATGCACAACAACAGTAATATTTATCACTTATTTACTGAGACCACAGAATAAAGATCAGTAACAGAAGGGCAACTCAGCGGTGCAACGTGTCCTCGTTTTTTTATGCAAAAATATGCAGTTTACTGGCCAGAAGGCGGAGCAGCCAGCCAGTACAGCGTGTTTATTGGCCAGAAAATGTCATTGACTGGCTAGGAAAATGGCGGCCAACATGCGTAATGCGACATGCGCGAGGACAGAAACTTCAAAGCTTCCGACGTAAGTTGCCCTTCTATGTGGATCTTTATTCTATGCTGAGACCGAGGGAAACAGTGTGTTTTGTGGACCCGAGACCGTCGATGTTTCCCGAGGCGAAGCCGAGGGAAACATCGACGGTCGAGGGTCCACAAAACACACTGCTTTCCCGAGGTCTCAGTAAATAAGTGTTTTATTATATATCAATAGTCAAAGAAACAACAAATTAAAGAACAAATGAACGTAAATACATGAAATATTTTATTGTTAAATTGTTTATTGTTTTAGGCATGTCCAAAGGTCGCATCTTAACGTGATGGCGCACGTGATTTTTTTTTGTTATTCGCCGGTCGATAACGTATTAGCGAGCT